ATATTGGAATGGAGATCTAGGTCTTAAAATGTGCAATAATAAAGACTTCAAGGAGAAAATTGAAACTATTTCCACTATTACACATGGAACTAGTTACAAGTATTATATCCAGAGCTGCGAAACAAAATGGGAGCTGTTATTTTTGTCTGTGTAGCTTTAGTCCAGAGTGGAAACAGAATTTATCCTGACAAGCTAAAAAGTTCTTTCCCCTTCGTTCCCCTGGCACACAACTACACAATTCCCTAAGTTTAACCCACATGCCATTATACTTACTCTGTATGCCAATTCTAGATCTGTACAGTTAAGCACACTCTAAGACACTCCACACACTCTCACTAGGTCTGCTGTGCTGTGATTTGATACTGCTTTGCTGCAGCAATAGGAACTCCCAAGTGATTTTCAACTTGGGTGTTGTATCCTTTAAAGATTGGATCTTGCTTCCTAGCAGACATTAATAGCATTTCCACTGGTTTCTGTGGGAAAGAATCAGGCCTTTATTGAATTAATTGGAAAGCTATATTCTACTAGTGATAAACAGGTATCAGTAGTCATCATGTCAAAAGGAGGAAAGGCTCAGTATTTCAAAGCAGCTCTAACATACCTTTTCTTTAATAGGGAAATTTGGGAACGTTTTTTATTACTAATGTGAGAATCGTTTGGCACGCAAATATGAATGACAGCTTTAATGTCAGCATACCATATCTACAAATTGTAAGTATCTTAAAGCAGCCACTTTCAAAATGAAATAGGACAAGTTCTGGTATTCAGTTAATGTTCCCATCTCACACTGACTTAGTATTTCATGTTCCCATGTCAGGGAGAAATTTGGTCTTACAAGCATTAACTACAGGGTGGATTTCTTTTCTGTCCAGATTAATTGGAAGCTTCCATTAGCAATTTGAGATGTTGAGGAATGGCTTGTATTTTTAATTTCCAAACTATTTACTCTTGTGCTTCATGTCAGCTGCATGCCCTGAGCTGCAAATCTAATGTTCGAGAATGCACTATTAATATTTTTGATAAAAACACTTTTCCTGAGGCTTTGCTGTTTCAGAATTGAAATAGAGAGAATGCTAGTAGCCAGGCTTCCAAGAGGTATAATAGTAATTACTACAGTGTTTAAAAAAAAACAATAAAATAATAATATTTTTTTTTAAATGATATAAGGTATTTCCAAAACAGTTTATAATTTTTTTTTTTTTTTTTTTTTTTTTTTACCTCTTTACCACTAGCGTTCAATAAAAGTAAGAGACTCAAAGTTTGGCTTGGCTCTTGTGATAGAGAGTTCTCAGCAGGTAAGAAGCTTTAATAGCCCTTAAATAGCGGTTTTCAGAATTAGATAGCTGTGTATATAAAATGTTACAGTACTGCTTTTAAGCCGCTTATAGATTTCCTTCTGTGTGGCCATTAAAAGACTGCTTAAAAAAATTCATCTTCACACCTCTTAAAATGTCAGTTCAGGTAAATATGGCTGTTGTGAGTTACAGTGTCTCTAAGCAGAGCAACAGTAAACCAGCCTGACCACTTTAAAGTATTTAGCTGTTAGAGACTGTGTCTTCTGACAGATTATCTTTGAGACCTAATTCTGTGTTTAAGCAAGACCACTATTTTTAATCTTTTTCAATTATGTATGCTTTGCTCTAAGAAACAAAATCACTTTTCTTCAATTTGACTTTAATCAGAAATGTTTTTAATGATTTAATAGATAGATAAGCTTGTATATAAAGTTAATATTTTATTTAGTGATGATCTCAAGGATTAAACACTTGCTGAGTAGCTAGGAATAAATTGCTGTATCACTTTGTAACTTCTCCCACCTTTCTTAGATCTTGTTTCTCTACGTAAGATACTTGTTTCTTTATCTAATGGGCTAAGAGTTTAAAGCTTAGTTATCTCATAAAGAAATGTTATCATTGTTTTTTGCTTCGCTCCTGGTTTAAGTGGCAGACTAAGATACTAAAATACAGGATATGTTTTTATCATCAAAATTAAATTTGCTATCATTAAACTACAAGTTCTCATTAGGAGAGGAATGAGAGGGAGTTGTTTAAATAATAAGCAATAATAAATGTCTTTTTTTCTTTGTTACACAGAGTGGAGGATATGTACTTGGCTTTAAAATAGACCCTGTGGAGAAACTACAGGAGGCAGTGAAAGAAATTAATTCACTTCACAAAGTTTATTCAGCTAACCCTATATTTGGAGTGGATTATGAAATGGAAGAAAAGGTAGTCTATTCATCTGTTCTAAATTAGATGCAATATTGTGTTAGCAAGCAGTAACAAAAATACATTAAATGTGTATTGGATATATGGATTTATTCAGTGTTTTAACTTTTAGCCTCAATCTCTTGAAGACCTAACAGTGGAACAGGTTCAAGATGATGTGGAAATAGAACCTGGTGAACAGACGGATGCTTTTGTGGTAAGCTTCTCCACAAAGGCGGGGGGGGGAAGAAGCTTTTATTAAAATATAAGTGGCATACAGTTTTAATTAGCTGCAACTAAACTCTCTGTACTTAAGCACACTTACATGCTTTTTAATCAAAATCTTGATTGCTGTGTGCATTTACTTTGGGTGTGTTTTTTTTTTTTAAATCTTAGCACAAACTATTATTCGAAATAAACAGGAGTAGATAGTAGTAGTTGTATGTAGTTTCTCTACATATTAAGATGATGATTAGCCGCACAGTACAATCAAATACATTATATTAAAAAAAAGTCTTTCTTCTTTTGGAACAGATTAATAAGAGTTGACATCTGTACATTCACCTGAGATTCAAATTTAAAAGATTTTTAGAAAAGCAACAGCATTTTTGAGCCAATCCTGCCAACTGTTGCACACCTGTTTTTACCAGCTTAGAAAATGATATTAGTATTCCTCTCCCTTTATTTCAGAAATGAACACAATAAAAATAAAATTAAATGTATTAGGCTGTTCAGGAACTTAATGATCTTCCTCCTGGGAATTTCCAAATTTACTTGCAATCCAGAAAGATCTGATTCATGTGATTTCACAGGCAGAAGGTGTTCACATGTAACCATAACCATGTCTTCAGTGTGGTTGAAGACCTTTTCCTTAAAGGAAGATTTTGCTTGCTTTCTTGATGGCTTTATCACCTGAATTAAAGCTCAGGTTCTTCTTCACAAATACAAAGATCTATAGTGTGCTGGTCCAAAGACTTACAGAGCTGCAGATATTTTCAGAGTTTGAATCTTAATTTCTCCACACAGAATTGGAAAGACACTATAATTTTCACAGGCCTTACTCTGTGTTCATTTCTTATATTGAGTGCGATGTTGATTGCATTTTAATACTATTTACACATTTTAGTCTCATTTTTTAAAAAATTGAATAATGCTGATGCATATGAAGCAGAAAATATTAAAATGCTGTTAGCTTGCTTGTTGACTAAAATTTTATTCCCTACGAAGTATTTGTTAGCATAAAAAATGCAATGTGAAAACTTTCTCTGTTTATTACGTTGGAAAATTCAGAGATTGATGTTATCTAATGAAAATGGTCCCTAACTTCTGTTGGAACTCCTTTGTAATTGATTTCAACATAGGAATTACTTTGATCTTGTTTATAAAACAAAAATAAAAAACATACAATCTGTTTTCTTCAAGAAAACTTACCAGTTTTCACCCAAAGAATTACTAGCAAACTTGTGTTTAAATTGTGTTGTTTTTCTCAAGGTTGTGAGTTGTTTCTTTCTTTTACAGGCTTACTTTGCTGATGAAAACAAGGTAAGAACATCTTTTTTTCCATACTGTTAGATTTGTGTTGTTATAAATTGTATAATTAAAAGTATACTCTTATTTTTCTGTTTAATGTCTTGCACATTCAAAAGCAACATGATCGGGAGCCTGTGTTTTCAGAAGAACTAGGACTTGCAGTAGAGAAGCTAAAGGATGGATTCACGCTCCAGGGACTCTGGGAAGTAATGACCTAATTTAGATGGTTACATCTTGTTTCCCATCCAATGAAAGACTCTTTACTGATTCAGTGAGATCTGTGGATTATTGAACAATACAAGAGTGGCAGCAAAAGATCATGCCAAAGTTTAAAAAACAAAAACAGGCAAATCTTATATAATATGAACTAAGGGTATTATTATAGGAGAAAGATTATTCAAAATGTATGAAGGTATAAAAGTTACTACAGGAATGATGGCTGCCATTTTATTTCAACTACTATGTTATGGCTCACAACTACTACTATGCTAAAATGCTGGGCAGTACATGTTTAGTTCTGCTTTGTGATTGCCTGGCTGCTGCTGGCACACCAGTACCCCAGGTGTTCTTAGCATGTGTCATGGTTTTATGATTTTTTTTTTTGGTTGAATCAGAGCAGTGAGCCTCTTCCTGTAAAAGCACAGGGTCCATCCTCTTGTTTCAGCCACCATTTTCTGTCAGCTGCTTTTTTGCAGTTTTGTGCCCCACATGGTTATACACTGCCCTGTGACCAGCTGCCAGGAACAGCCATACTGTGTTGTTTTACCTAGAAGCATGTCAGAAAAGGAAAGCTCTACCATTTTGATAATGCAGTATATAGCATACAGTTTTATGCTCAACTTAAAGTATTCATATTTTTACACAGTGAAGTACTTTCCCAATATAATTGATTCAGATTTCCATAATTTGTTTCATTCTGTGCAGCGTGGATGTACAAAATGTACAACCCTTTGTATCTGTGTTGGTTGTGTCATTGAGCCACTGTTATGTTACTGACAGCTTTTTGAGAAAAAGCAATACTGTTTCAAATACTAGTTTTCACATCTCATCATTTATGAAGAGTTTTTCACTTATCATTCCAGGTACTTTATTGTAATCTGGCTATCTTCTCTCTCTTTTTTTTTTTTTTCCGTCAGAGCCCTTTTTTTTTTAAGGGATGATAAAGCACACACACAAATAGATTCTGTGTCTGAGTCATTAGACCTTTATGGTGTTATGTGTTAGAAATGAGTCATTTATTGTTGAAGGGAAGATGCAGCTGTTACGTTTTCTAGGGAGATAAGACCTCTGTAGTATTTTCTATAAGTGGAAAAAGTCAAATGAGCTGTTCATTCAGCTGTTGTTCAGCAGCTGACTGTTATAGTAGGGCATAAAATATAATTGTGCTGATTGTAGTAAATCTTTCAAAGTATATATTTCAATGAAACACTACCTGTGGTCGAAAATAAACCATGATTTCAGTAAACTTGAGTGATGTTATAACTGTATGTATATCTTGCATTCAAAGTTGTCTTTTTGTCATTCAAAGAAAAACATGTACTATATGGGTAAAAAGCATACTGTGAGCAAAATACTTTCATCAAGGTGCATTAAATAGCTTCAGATTTCCTTTCTATTACCACCATATATGCTCCCAGTCTAAACTGTGAATTTTCACCATATGCATAATTTTTCTAAATTCGTGGTTCTTAAACTACATGATTAATTTGGATCTTTTATCTTAAATTGAGATTTTAAAAATTGTTTTTGTTAAGATTTATTAAATAATGTACGTGTGCTGTATTACATGTTTGTTTTTTTTTTCTTGTTTGTTCTACTTCTTAGGTACTGTTTTCAGTTTAGTTTTACAACAGCTAATACAGTTTCTAAAATAATCAGATGTGAAGGGATTGGTGATGTTTATAGATGATCTGAAATGCAGAATGATTGTTTGGAAGAGGGAAGTGGACCTAATTTTAAATTACTGTTAAAAACAGTACTTCACCTGAATAACTTTAAGAATTGTTTATTTTTAAATAAATACAACCAAATCAGTGCTAAGAAGCAGCTCAAAATTCATTTTTTTTTTAATCTATATCTTAAAAAATGCTGATGTGAGGTATGTAATAAAAATTATTTTAGAAGAGAGATAATTTATATAATAAAGTCAGGATTTTTTTAATATCTCTGTGACTAATATCTCATTTAAAGTCTGTAGCAAGGCAGTGTATTAAGTAACTTTCTGACAACGTAAACAGTAATTGCAGCTGACAAGTTGATTAGCAATATTTGTATTTGAGAATACTGATAAAGTGTATGTTTACGATCTTGCTCATAGCTGTCTTACTGAGGGTCAGATTCTGCCGTCCTTACTCATGTCAAGTAATTTCTTACATTGCAAGTAATCTCACTGATTAAATGTGGAGAGTGATGGCAAAACCTGACCATAGTGACTAAAAGCAACAGTTGCTTCTTTCAGTCTTTGACAGCTGTGAGAACAAGTCTTTATTTTTTTCCAAACCATGCATCCTAAATTCCAACCTGTAAGAGTAGGTACCTATATTTAGCTAGTGTGAGATTAAGTTGCAGAGGCTTCAGGCAGGGCAAAGCACATTGGTCTGTCTTTTTTACAGACAGACATTTGGGCAGACAACAGCTAAAGCTTTCTGCTCCCTCCCTTCCCCAAGTATTTGCAAAATGGATTCCCAAAGGGAACTCACTGAAGAACTCAGGCTCTACCAATCCACCCTTCTTCAGGATGGCCTCAAAGAACTCCTGGAAGAGAAAAAATTTGTAGATTGCTCCCTAAAAGCTGGTGACAGAAGTCTGCCTTGCCACAGATTGATTCTGTCAGCATGTAGCCCTTATTTTCGTGAGTATTTCTTATCTGAGCAAAATGAAGAGAAAAAGAAGGAGGTAGTTCTAGATAATGTTGACCCCAACATCCTGGATATGATTGTCAAATACCTTTATTCAGCAACTATTGATCTTAATGATTCTAATGTGCAAGATATTTTTGCTTTGGCCAGTCGCTTCCAGATCCCTTCTGTATTCACCGTGTGCGTCTCCTATCTTCAGAAGAGGCTTGCTGTCGGAAACTGTCTGGCTATCCTTCGATTAGGTGTTCTGCTTGATTGCCCAAGACTTGCCTTTTCTGCCCGTGATTTTGTCTCAGATCATTTTGTGCAGATCTGCAAAGAAGAGGATTTCCTGCAGCTTGCACCAAATGAACTTATCTCAGTTATTTCACCTGACAGCTTAAATGTAGAGAAGGAAGAACTGGTATTTGAAGCAGTAATGAGATGGGTTCGGTCAGACAAGGAGAACAGAGTAAAGAGCCTAGGAGAAGTTTTTGACTGCATACGTTTTCGTCTTATGCCAGAAAAATACTTCAAAGAACATGTTGAGAAGGATGATATAATTAAAAGCAACTCAGATATTCAGAAAAAAGTAAAGATTATTAAGGATGCTTTTGCTGGAAAACTGCCTGACTCTAGCACAAATAAAGAAAAGTCAAACAAAGGGGAAGTAAATGGTGATGTAGGAGATGAAGATTTACTGCCAGGCTACCTAAATGACCTTCCCAGACACGGCATGTTTGTCAAAGACCTAATTCTTCTGGTTAATGACACTGCTGCGGTAGCTTATGATCCTCTCGAAAATGAATGCTATCTGGCAGCCCTGGCAGAACAGATTCCCAGAAACCATTCCAGTATTGTCACCAAACAAAACCAGGTCTACATTGTTGGAGGACTGTATGTGGAAGAGGAGAACAAAGATCAGCCTTTCCAATCATACTTCTTCCAGGTATAAGCTTTATAATTATTGGTGTGGTACGTGCTTATAAGAGTCATTATTAAGGTACTTAGAATCTGTGCAAGTGAATTGTCAAGTTTCTGTATGGTCAGTGGAGAGTAGTTCCAATAGAAAGCTCTTGTCTCATGGAGATAAATTAAACCAAGGGACTTGTATCTTCTCTTTCAAGATCAAGCCCATGGTGAGATCTCAAGAAAGAGTAACTTGTACACAGATATAATGTTTGTCTTGTGTATGAAATATCTTTATGACAGAATAATACCTGTATTTTAAATGTCACTTTTTCACTAAAATTCCACGTGTCCTTTTGTCACATTTACATCTGAAAACCTAAGGGCATTCTAAAACATAATTTATTGGTGGAAGGTTGTTCTCCTGGCAAACTGTCAATGTCAGTATACTAACTACCATGTTTCAACTGAGTGCAAAGTTTTAATGTGTATAAATCTTTATAAATATAAGGCCAATTAATACAAACTAACTTCCATGACATATTTCAGAAAAGCAGCAAAATAACAATTTGGCATGCTTACATTACAAACAAATTCTGTTGTATATTTAGTTACCTGTCTACATGCTGTTTTTTAATGTTTAAAAGATCTTAGGGTGAATTATACAGTGTGCTACTGGCCATGGTCTGTCTTAGGCACATTGAAAGTGTGAAAGTAGGTCCTCTGACAATATGAAACAAAACAGAGTGACAGTCAGTGATAGGATTCTAAAGCCTTCAGATATCTAAAAATGAAAATAGTGAGTGTTTATAGCACTATGGTTCACTGATTTCACAGACCATGAAGGAGCTGGTTCCAAAAATTTCATATAGCTATGAGAAGAAAGTAATTTTGCTAGAGGGGGATTAACACTGTTTCATGTCCCTTTATGGGTGAAAAGTGCTAATCAGGGAATGCAGAACTTGTTACAGCTATATTCTTCCAATAGATATACCACATTGGTGTATTTTTGTATGTAATGCAGAGCTGAATGAAGCTACTAGATAGGGGTCTCTGAAAAACTAAACTTCAAGAGGGATACTAAAAATTGATTAAACATTCAGAATGCTATATGTCTAAATTAATAGCCTGAAATCCTGCTTCCTCACTTGCCATCTTTAAGGTTTCTTATTGCCATTACTGCATATAGTTAAAATACTTTTCTGCGTTACTCATCTGGCTGCTCTCTGAAAAATGTTAATACGGTGCCATACCACACTCACTTCCTAATAGTCCTTTCTCTCCTAGTAATGCACCTGTTACTCTGTTACTACAACCTGTTACCATTTGGTTTGGTAACCTAGGACAAAACCGGGCTGCCACTGGCTCAAAAATGCAGGACTAATTGTTTATTGCTCTATCAACTGTGCAGATGTCATCTTCACGACTGATACAAACAGCAGGCTGTCATCTGTGATCTGCATGTTTTGACCTCTTTACCCAAATCTAGCTCCTGGGGCAGCCCACAGCCTTGAATTACACTTCACCATTGCTGCAGAACTAGTGGTCCATCAAATCTGGGAGATGCATTTTATCTTGACTGTGGAACACACTTCCAGAAAAAGAATGTCACTGAGCTAAACCCCGATCTGATTGCTTTGACTGAACTTTTTCTCACTTTACATCAAATGCACTTATACTCATGCCAACTCAGATTTTACCTTTCCTGCCTGTACATAATCAATGAAATCTATATGCGGAAGAGTAAAATACCATATGCTAGGGAACATACAGATTGAATGTTAAGTTTTTAGATATTAAAAAAAAAAAAAAGTACTCCAGTTCTATGAAAATAATGTTCTCTTGTTTTTTTGTTTGTTTGTTTGTTTTTTCTTTTGCCCTCCTGCTGCTTTTCTTTTGGTGTTTTCACCTTGATACATCTTAGGAGTATTTCAATAGGGATGACATAAGTGTTATTGCTAATGGAGCTGCACTGCCTCCCTTTTTGCTTAGGAGTGAAGTCCTTATCAAGATGTCCCAGGAACTTTTGCAGCTATTTGTGATGAAACATCACTTCTTTTGCTCTAGGGATTGCACAAGAAACATCTGTGCCATTTGCTACGTAATGCTTTGAGACCGTTAATAATGTCTGGCATCTCTCACTGTAGCAATTAGCACAACCTGCTCAATGTGGAGTTGTGGAATGACCGAGGTGTTTGCTTCCTTCAGAGAGGAAGAATTAAACATTCTTTCCAACATATAGGAAATTCAGAGTGCAGAAGAACTTAAAAAAGCAAAGAAACTGTGAGGAATGAAGGTGAGCAGGTGCAAAGAGAGCTGCGTAGCATTATGTGGGTGCTAGTGTCATGATTCATGGGTGGGTAAAAATTACCATTCAATAGCTGCACCAAGGGAGGGATAGCTTGTTCAGGTGAGCAGCTGAACTGCTGAGATACTGAATGAGATTTGTGGAACAGTTTTGTCATATGAATTTTTACTACTTGCCTCTGATAACACTTCTGTTGTGGTGCTTTTTCAGCTGGATAGCATTGCTGGTGAGTGGGTTGCCCTTCCTCCACTGCCGTCAGCCAGGTGTCTCTTCGGGCTGGGAGAGTCAGACGACAAGATCTATGTAATTGCAGGCAAGGACCTTCGCAATGAGGAATCTCTAGATTCAGTATTGTGCTATGACCCTGTGTATGTTTAAAATTTAATTCTGCCCAATGAGGACATATATACAGCCCATTGTTAGCTGAAGGAGCCTAACAGCAGTATTCTTTGTTCCAGGGCAATGAAATGGGGTGAGATTAAAAAACTGCCCATCAAAGTATATGGCCATGCTACCATCTCCAACAATGGATTGATATATTGTCTCGGTGGAAAAACTGATGATAAGTAAGCCTCTAAGTCTTTTCATGATTATTTAGAACATTATTTGGTTGGTCCTTTATAGATTTTTATGTCGTCACTCAGAAATTAGGCTGTCCACTTTTACATCTCTACATTAAATTTACTAGCAGTTTGGCAGAAGGCAGCATGTTATAGTCTACAGGCTATCTTTTTCTCAATAAGGTAAAACTGCATGTAAGTTGTAATCTCAAATAGTTGTTTTAGCCATTTTACTTACTTTAAGGGAAATTACATACATGTTCATCACAGTTATGAGGATCCTCTTTATAAGTGTTATTTCCTTCCAGATAGAAATGCTTAAGTACCAAGGAACTACTCTATCAGCTCTTCATTTTTTTTTTCTCACCTGTAGTGCCTTTTATACCTAAATGTGTGTGACAAAAGCAAAACAAAAAAAACCAAAACTAGTGCTTTTACTGCTATTCAATGTGTGGTAGTATTTTCTTCAAGCAAGTGAATATTTTAAGTAGAACAAGATGTGACAAGTGCTTTTTAGACCTGTCTTGTCTATCCCCAGGTCAGATATGAGAGAGGACCTCATAGAGAGGAAGAGAGGCACAACACATAAACATGCACAAACTGCCTCAACTAGGTATCACTTGGAAGAAGCCAAAGTTCATTAAAAATGATTACAGTTTTCCTTTTTCTCCCCAGGAAATGTACTAATAGAGTATTTGTATACAACCCAAAGAAAGGAGACTGGAGAGACCTAGCTCCAATGAAAGTGGCTCGCTCAATGTTTGGAACAGCCATCCATAAAGGCAAGATTTTCATTGCCGGTGGTGTCACTGAAGAAGGCCTTACCTCATCTGTTGAAGCTTTTGATCTAACCACAAATAAGTGAGTGCAATGCTCAAGCTGTTTTTAAGCAAATGTTTTATCATCTATGCATTTAAAATCTTGGGATGGTCACAAAGGTGTTCAGAAGCTGATATTAGAATAAAATTATCAAAACTTCATTCTGATACCTTTTAACTTTTCTGAGGTCCTCAATGTAGTTATTAATGTAAGTACTTAGGTTGTGAATAAACACAGTTGGCTGTGATATCTACAGTGATGACTGGCATTGCATCCATCAATCTCACAACACAAACTAAATTTCAAGACCTACTTAAAAAAAGACCAAAAAAAACCTACTTACAGCATTTGACAATAGAAAAGTGAATTATGCAAGTAATTCTTTAACGTAACTTTAGACTCTATATGTTGTATAGAAATCAACTGAAAGTAAAGGTAATTTTGTTATCTTTATGTTTAGTGTGTTCTTACTCTTCCATTATTGAGACAGGTGCAACCTGTGGTCAGAAAACATCTGCAGGCTATTGTCCTCATTTACTGTTTTGTTATAGACAAATCACATGAGTGAAAGAAGCAAATTAGCTCACTAGTTTTGATGTTAACATTGTCTTGAAGTGAGATTTCTGTATGTTTTATATGTTCCTATGTGTGACTTGGAAGAATATTTGAAATTATGTTAATGAGCTCTATTAATTTATTCATTTATTACTCAAATTACTGCCACTTGAAATGAAAACTCATTTTGGAAACTACAGGGGTAAAAAATGAGCAATAGGGGAAGAGACATAACTATATAAAGCATATCAGTGAGATGGTGGGAAGAGGAGACCTGTAAGAACTGGTCTCTGGAAGGAGATGGATATAATTCCATCATACCAAGACTTGCATTTCTTCATCAAGTTCCTGCAGGGATGGAGAAACAAACTCACTAATGATTAATCTCAGCATTTTTTCCTTTTACTAATCAGTTTCATTCAGGCAGTCCTCAAAAACATCATTTATGTTACCCGGAGCTGTATTTTGGTGCTAACCATTTAGTAAATTTCACTTGTATTTGACATGTATGTTTTTCTTTTTATCCATCTTCAGGTGGGAGATTGTGCCTGAATTTCCCCAGGAGCGAAGTTCTATCAGTTTAGTCACCTTAAGTGGATCTTTGTATGCTATTGGAGGCTTTGCAATGATTCAGCTTGAATCTAAAGAATTTGCACCCAGTGAAGTCACTGACATATGGAAGTAAGTTTAACTTTAATACCTTCCTAATAGAAAGCTCTATTGAACAGTGATGTTTGTAGACAATAGGGGGTAACAGTAATAGTACGTTTACCTTCAGAAATGAACCATAACACAGGTTTGGATATAATAACTATTTCAATCTACTAATAATTTGAATAGTCTGAGTGATTTGAATGGCCTTTAGATTCTTCTACGATACAGCAAGGATGTAAGTGAAGATCAGGTTCGCAACTGCCTGAGAAACCTGATTGTCCATAAGACTATGGCTCCTGATGAGATGCGTCCCAGAGTGCTGATGTAATCACGAAGCCACTCTTGATACTTGGAAAGTCATGATGGTCAGGTGCAGTCTCTGGTGACTGGAAAGAAAGCAGTATAGAACCCATTTTTAAGAAGGGTAGAAAGAATAACCAAAGGAGCTACTGACCAGTCAGTTTTACGTCAGTGCCAAGGAAAATGATGACATAGATCCTCCTGGCAGGTACGCTAAGGCACATGGAAGAGAGGGAGGTGATATCAGATAACCAGCACGGCTACAGCAAGGGCAGGTTGTTGCTTTTTTTGATGGCATAACTGCATCAGTGGACAAAGGAAGAGCCACTGGTGTTGTCCATGTGGACTTCATTAAGGCTTTTGACACAATCCCCTATAATGTCCTTCTCTGCAAATTTGGAAAGACATGGATTGACATGTGTACTGTTTGATGGACAAGGAACTGATTGCAAGATGATACTTAGATAGTGGTAGTCATGGGTAGTCAGTGGTTCAGTGTCCAGATGGAGATTGGTGAAAAGTGGTGTCCCTCAGGGGTCAATAATGGGACCAGTGCTCTTTAACATCTTCATCAATGACATCAAGAGTGGGATCAGGTGCACCCTCAGCAAGTTTGCAGATGACACCAAACTGTGTGGTGTGATCAACATGCCCAAGGGATGGGATGCCATCCAGAGGGACCTACACAGGCTCGAGCAGAGGGTCCAAATGAACCTTATGAGGTTCAATAAATCCAGGTGCAAGGTCTCACAAAAAGGGGTCATGGCAACCTCCTAGAAATGAGTAGAGGGTACTGGTGGATGTTAAGCAGGGCATGAGCCAGCAGTGCACCCTCTCAGCCTAGAAAGCCAACAGTATCCTGCATCAAAACAGCATCAAAAGAAGCATGGTGAGCAGGGAGAGGGAGGTGATCCTGCCCCTCTGCTCTGTGCTGGTGAAACCTCATCTGGATTGCTGTGTCCAGATGTGGAATTCTTGGTGCAAGAGAGACACAGACAGAGCATGTCCAGAGGAGGGCCACAAAAATGATCCCAGGGATGGAACACTTCCCCTAGGAGGACAGGCTGAGAGAGCTGGGACTGTTGAGCCTGGAGAAGAGAAGTCTCTGAGGACACCTGAGAGCAGCCTTTCAGTATCTAAAGCAGGGGCTGTAAAAAAGGAGACAAACTCTTTAGCCTTCAGCAGGGTCTGTTGTGGTGGAAGGGAAAATGGTTTCAAGCTAATGGAGGGGAGAAGCTAGTGGACATTAGAAGTTTTTTTACAATAGTGGTGGTAAGGCACTGTAACAGATTGCTCAGATATGTGGAAGCCCCATCTTTGTAGACATTCAAGGTCAGGCTGGATGGAGCTCTCTGCAACCTGACCTAGCAGTAGGTGTCCCTATTCATTGGAAGGGAGTTGGGCTAGGTGGCCTTTAAGGGTCCTTTCCAACTCAAACAATTCTGTGATATGAGGTAAAAGAGTATGTTGCTGTCTCTGTTGGCAGGTTTAGCCTTTTAAGTGTGCCATAAAAATATTCTGGTTTATAACATTTTTATGCAATAAAGTCTGCATGTACAGAAAGGTTTGTACATATGTATTAATAGCCAGATGAGTAATTGTTCTGAGAAAAGTCAGAAGTCTCCTAGATTTATTTATTTATGTCACAGTAGGAGTGATGAAACATTGTGTCTCTACTGTGACTCTTCCATTACTGTGGTAGACTGAAGAGTTGAAGTGGCAAAACCACTGAAAGGATGCCCATAAAAAACACTTTCATATGTAAAACTTGAAAAAAATTTAGAAGGGATCTGCAGTAGGGGGAGACTTTTATAGGAGAAGTGAAGTTTGAAACAGGCCACAATGAGATTTAGGGTTCAGGAAAAAGTCAACCCACATGGACAAGAATGTCCTTCTCTTAAGTTCTAGAAAACGAAAGCAGCTTTTCGTAGCAACGCTCAGCACAAGTTTGCTACAAGCTTTTGGAACCTGTGGATTATTCTTTTTTTAGACAAAGCTACATTCTGACCTTATTTTCTTAAATGCAGGTATGATGATGAAAAGAAGGAATGGGTTGGCATACTGAAAGAGATCCGATATGCGACTGGAGCTTCCTGCTTGGCTACACGTTTAAATCTCTTCAAGCTGTCGAAACTGTAAACAAAATGCTGAAATATTTGATATGATGCAGGAGTTTTCATAGGCTCTTCTGAATTTGTTGCATGAAAATGTCTCCAGATTTTCAGAGTTTTGTAGCAGCATACTAGTTATGCTGTTAACTGTTAAACAGTTAATCTGTCTATCCAAGTCTTAAGGTATTTACTAGCTAATCAATAAGTGAATTTTTGCTAACCTTTAAAATCCTGAAGAATTCTAATTAATGTTGATTAGAATAAATGAAGACTTCTACCCCATGGAAAGTAAAACTAGTTATCCTTACTCTCAGTCCAGGATAGTGGTGGCTAATCTGAAAACAGTGCTCAAGAATTAATGGATTGTTAAGTTAAATACAACTAGTAGGTGCTGATTTTATTCTAACCAGCTGTTTGTACAGCCTGACTTCTCCCTGCAACAGTGTATGCAACTCCTGCATTCTTTAGTCATATTTTGAAAACATTTTCAATGGAGCCTTATAAAAATAATTAATTTAGCCTGGAATTGAAGTGCGTATTGAAAACAGAAACACCAACCTTATCTAGAGTAGGCAGCTGTGAGGGAAAAAAACAATTTTACAGGGGTAATAGCTTTGCCTATTATGTTTTGGTTTCTCATAACAAGGATTTCCATTTTTTTATGCTTTTGTATTTATTTCCAAAGCAAATATTTAATGGTAAGTTTTCTCAGAGATCTTAGGCCATTAATAGGCATTCATGAAAAATGCTAGAACAACTGCACAAGTAAGCACCTACCTAAGAAATAACTGATGCATTTTAATGTTTAAACTTTTAACTAGTAACAATTAAACTTCGTTTTTAATGCTGTTAAAACATCACATGACGTTGTCTTATATTTTGTGTAGATACACTTTCTGAATCCACTTTTAGTCAGTTTTAATCCTCTCCACATTGTGAGTACCCATAACTTTATCCATACATAACTTGAATGTACCTGAACTGCAGAGTCCACCTCAAGCCCACGACAGCTACAGCCACTGTCACGTTTTAAACTCTGCAGTTGCTACATGATGCCCACCTGTACAGAAGCAGGGCCACACAACAGCCCTCTGACTTGAAGTTCACCTTCTGATATCCTAACCTCTATAATTATCTTCTCCATTTTATACAAAATATAATGTGTATACAGTCCTTCTCTATACTGTGCATTCAATAGCACTTCCCCAAAGCACTTTTCTACGACAGCCCTATTCAGCTCTTCTCAGTTTAATCAGAAGCACCATCACCATAAGCAGACAAGCATCTACTCGTGCTCTCGGTCATTCTACACAGGAGGATCGCCTCCAGAGAACACTGCAGCTTTGGTCAGTTCTGTCCATTTTTCCTAGCTTTTCATCACTACGTTCATTTGGATTCAGTCAATTAAAAATATACTCTTCTCCTATTACCAAGGTTTAGAACGAAGAAAAACAAAGCCAGGTGCACAGTGGTCAATGAAAATGTAGATGCTTACTTCTCCCAAGCTTCAAAGCACATGGTAAACAGAATGTCCGTTACTTCTCTAAAAACGCAAGAAAAGTAGGCATGTTGTGTATGTGAAACGGGCATAACTTGCAGTCATTGTGACGTAGTAGGAACTATAGCCAAACATGGCTGCTTCTGAAAATAGGGTGATCTGCCATAGTATAACCACCCTACGGTTTATTACTTTACAATTAATGTTCTCCTGTCTATTCCACTTTCTCCTTCTACATTCCCGTATCTTCTAACTCCTGACAAAACCCTAGTTCTATGTGATCATAGGAAGCTGGTAATGTAACTGGCTGATGGTTTTGAAACACCACAAATAAAGCAATTTCACCATGTAACCAAGGTAATATTTATGACTCTCTGAAGACTTTTCTTGTTCTCAATTTCTGGTTTCAGTTTTCTGCCTTATTTTGTTCTTTTGTGCACTCTCATTTACAGAACAGGCAGCTTATACAGATTAATTTTGTTTTATTACTATTAGAAAGGAGTGGTCCAACTGATAATTACAAACATTTTCACAAATTATCCAGTCACTAATGGGTACCTATGTCTGACATAAACAGTACTTCCTCCTCATCCCTCAGTTATCCCTTCCAAGTTAAACTGGGCTGCAGGTTTTAATGGATGGAGTGACTGCCAGACCTCTCAAACTACTTTACCTTTCAGGTATGTGAAGGCATTCCAGAGGATTCAAGCCTTCTTTTGTACATGCTGTATCACAGGATAGAAAAAGCAAGCAGCTGGAGGTTCCTCACTGCACCACACCCTCCCCTGACATTGTCACCCACGTTCTCTGTTCTAGAAGATGAAAACAGAATGGCTGTAATAGCAGTCCTATTCTTAGTAAATCTACATTTCACTTGTTAGTTTCACAGTACAGAGAGACTATGTTTGATCCCTATTGCTCATTTTGTCACATGCTGGAGGACAGACATAGTTTCCATTCTATTTGCTACCTCCTCTTCCATAATCAGTATTTCCAGCTCTTTCTTTGGACACTTTAATATCTGGTCAAATCTCAGTAGGTAATAATGCAGTTGTATGGCAAAACTGTCACGGACCCATATACTTAAATAATAGCTTCCAGAAATGGCAGCTTTTATGCATCTCAATCACACATTTGCAGCATATTGTGACCAGCCTTTTATAACCCCTAACAAATGTAGGATCCAGTCTCATGACACCCAATGCCCCTAGTCCAGCTGACTCACAGACAACTTTTGGCAGGTATTCCAGGGTTACAAGTAGTTTAATGTTATACAAAGTGTATTAAAAAAATTTACTTGTAATTACATTTTTGGTATCACTGAGCTTCATACAGACGTTTTCTCAGATACTCAAGCTGCTCAGGTTTTGTGGACAGAACCATAGAATTCCATTCAAAGTGAGGAATCTGTAGAACAAAGTCACACAAACTAAGTGCTAATGTTGCCTGACACAAGTCACAAACAGTTTTACAGCACAGAAAGATCTACTGTTCTCCACATTAAAATATGTTATCACACATGCCTTCTGTCAGTTTGCTTCCACAAAGTAATAGTTGCAGAGATGAAAAGCAGATACCCATACAATACAGCTATGACAACTCCATTACCCCATCTTTCACCTGAGGTATTTTGAAATCCATTAAGAGAGAAAAACCCAAGGTTACCAGTTTGCAGTGTAAAAGTATCAAACTGAAATGGTGTGTCAAGTAGCCCAACATTTAATCTCAGGGCAATACAAGAAAGGATGTTTATTTTGTTTGGAGGAAAAAAACAAACAAACAAACCCCAAACAAAAAAAAAGCTTAAGCTTATAGAAGGCTTCCAGTACAAGTCAGAGTAGGTGCTATAGGTATTGATATATCTATATGGGAGAATCAGTATTGATCACAAGCCCCCTGCTATGTCTGTGCTCCTGAGTGGGAATTTACACTGGTCACTAGCTTTGCAGTCACGGTACTACCACTCCACAACCAGCCAGCCTCCACCACCCTCTTCAAGCTGCCATAACTGGCTCTGTGTATGCAATGAGTGTGCGTTCAATTTTTTCTCATATGAAAATCTTTGCTGAATTGAACTGAAACTTGTTTCATATTTTCTCCTTTACTCAGGCTATGTTCAGAATGCTAGTTTGCCTGCACTGAGGTAACACTAAGCCTTTTTGACTCCAGCTTATCTGCAGCTGCTGTCAGAGATGATAAGTTCTATTATTTCTATAAATTGCTAGAAATTACTCCTCTAAATTCAAAAATTGCTCTCACTCAGTGGCTTTTAACTATCAGATGAAAACTGTCTTTAAATCTGTTGGAAGGAAAATCCATCAATCTGCACTACCAACACAACTCAACAGAATACAAAATATTGTTGGCTGCTCACCTGAATGACCCGGTACCCCAGTATTTCCAGGTGTCGTTTTTTCACTGCAGGTTCTCCTTTCAGGTGGCGTGAATCTTTACTAAAAGCTTTTGAATCAAGAAATTCCAAAGCAATTCTGCAAACAAATAAACAAAAAAAGTGTATTTACTTTCAGATAAAGTAAAATGTCTAGTTCAGCATTGATAGATTTATCTAGCAAAAGTCTTCCTGCAACTAACAGTTCAAAGAAGAAAAAAATTAAACAACTACCTGAAAGTAGACGAAATGTTTTTCTTACATTTATTTGGAGATACTTGAACTTTAGGAAGAACTCTTCTGTCTTTCATCTGCTCTGTCCAAATGGCAAAACCAGCAACCAGCATTTTCAAGGATTACGTTAGAAGAGGTCAGAGTATTCCAATGTCATAAAATACATATTTCAAGAATACCTATCTGCTCTATTGCATTGAGTTTGGCTGAGGTGGATTTAATTTTCTTCGTAACATCTAACACAGTGCCATGTTTTAGACGGGTAACCGAAAGAGTGTTGATAACATACCCGTGTTTTGTCTGTTACTCCATGCTGCTTACACAGCAATCAAGACCTTCTGTGTCTTACTCTGCCCCCACAGATCGTAGGCTGTGTTTGGCAAGAGGTTAGGAAGGGACCAGCTGAGACAGCTGACCTCAACTGGCCAAAGCACTATTCCATACCATGTAACATCATGCTCCTCAATAAACTGAGCTTTTTTTCCAAATTAGTCATTGTCTGGCAGCTGGCTGCACTAGGTCTGCTGGTGATAAGTGGTTGCATCTGCATCACTTGATTTTTCTTTTATTTAACAAACAAACAAACCTTCTTCACTTATCAAACTGTCTATATCTTGACCTAAGAGATTTTTTTTCCCCTCTTTTTTTTTCCCTCCAGATTCTGTTCTCCGTCTCACTGGAAATAGTAAGTGACCAAGTAGATGGAAGCTCAGCTGCTGGCTAGGGTCAAACCACTACACACAGAAAGGCTAAATCTAATAAAGTTTTTAGAAAAAGAAACAGAAAAATAAATAGCCCAAGTGTTCCATCAACTATTTAGGACATAAACAACAAAAATTTGGTCTAAATTTGATCTAAAGCTTGAAGAGTATAAGAATTTCACCTCTGAGCCCCTTGTGGCAATGCCTTTCTGTCTTCATCCTTGATGTCATGTCTCAGGTGTATTCCCCTCAAATCATCCAGAAGTATATTCTGAGCCACGTAAGAAAGAGGCTTTTTATTTTTATCCAGAATGCATTCAAAATCTGTGAGAAAACATAACAGATGAAAACAGACAGAAAAAGGGAAAATAATTTGTTCAGCATAGTGTTTGCTTCTAGACAAAACTAAGTGACAACCATCATAGAGGTATCCAACATTTGTACCTGAATTATGCAAAACTGTTAGAAAGTGTATTCTATATAAACTGCCAAAACAGGTATTTCTTATTTGTGGTATCTTGTGGCCTTCAAATAGTCAGCCCCAGGGGCTTCCCAGCCTTGGGGATAATTGTGCTATCAGCGGTTTCCAAAACAATCCTTGAAGATGGAACTTCTCACCTATTTCATAGTAGTATGGTGTGAGAACAGATACTCTTGCATAATGGCTCCCTCCTAAGATCTCTGCCAGCATTCTGTGAACATGCTGTCGCAGTGGATTTATTCGGCTAATGCCTACAAAGACAAAATAAAGAATTAATAAGTCAAAACACACAACAGCTGAAGTTTTGAAACAGTACCTTGTGACATTGCACTTTTGATAGCCAGCCTACTGAATTAAAGCGGTGATCCTTGGTGTTATTCCATCACAATTCAGAGGTCACATCATCATCTTTTGGGTAGAAAGTGACAGGTACCTACTAAACACAAACTGCAAATCCAGAATTTCCATCCCCGTTTTCCCACAGGCACTTTGGTTGCAGGTTTAATCAACTGAATTTTGTTTTTAATCATGATTAGACTGTTAAATAAGTATTTAATAATTTTGCATCCATTACAGGCATAGTCTGCTGCAGATTGCTTAATACCTTGCTCCATTAGACACCTTCAGTCTCATAGATTAGAAAAAAGATTAGCCTGACAGATAGCAAAGCAGAATTAATACCATAAGAATTAATGGAGGAGACATTGTGTTTGCATCATCTAGACTTCCTGAGATCATTGCTGTTTTGACAGTTCTCAGCTGCTACATCTTTGAGGTTGAACACCTGACCACTCCATCTCACACCCCTGATGGACCTTGACTCTTTTGAAGAAGATGACAGAAATTTAGCCTCCTAAAGGCTAAGTCATCAAAGTGTTCCATTCTGAAAACACAGCATCTCCTCCAGTAGACAATCTCGATGATCCCAATTCTTACACCATCCTCCATGTCATATATACCAGCTCTATTTTGTTTAAATCATATTTCTTACATATAAATACCTCCTCTCGAGTATATTGGCTCTCCTGGGAAGAACTGCCTTGCTGTTTTGCACCTCCTAAGTATTTGCACTTTTGAAGAACATCGTTTCAGTGTATTATGGAGTATGCCTTTCTGAGCTTCTATTGTGTGCTAGTGTCAGCCCAGCAGTTTTAGAACAAGTACCCAGCTATTATAATAACAAGCGCAGCTCTCCTCAATGACTTACCTTTACACGAGACACGCTGGAAATAGTGCTCATGAAACCAAGGGATGTGAAACTCTGGACATTCCAGACAGACTGCTCTGTTCAGTTTCATAAGCCGTGAGCGGACCTTCTGCCTTAAGGTATCAGACAGGACTAAATTAAACAACATAAAAAAAAGTGTGAACTGTAAAGTGAAAAACCCATTACAATCAACTAGGTGGATACTTCTGAATCATTTACTAAAAATGCGGGAGCTTTATACTATGGCATTTATAAAATTCATGCTACACAATTTTAGAAGGCTTCACTAAATTCCTTACAGAAAAAAATAAAAATAAGTTTTGCTCAATATTAAGAGCAATAACATGACAGAAGAAAGTAGTGATTTAAATTCTCACCATTTATCTTTTGATGGCAAAATGGCAACAGCACATCAGTGGCAAACAAGGACAGGGAAACAGTCAAATAAGCATTCAGTCTCTTATTTAGAAGTAGGGTCCAGTGGGGCACATTTTTTGCAGACCAGAATTCCACATTATTTCTTTGGACTGCAACAATTTCTTGTAATAATACTACATTCAGGTAATTTTATTTCCATTCAAATTAAGTATACCAGATGCAATGAATTGACTATAATTTTTTTTAGAGTGAACTTGTCTTATCTGGCAACATCATCTGTAATATATGCCAATACTTCTAAAATATAGATTTTGTTTATTCCTTCCCTTTTAGCACTCAAATACTGACTAGACCATACAGAGCAGTCTTTCCAGAAGACCAAATGATGTACAGTCTACTTTTCAAGTTACATACATGACCACAATTCCATTTTATACAAAATGTTACATAACCCAATTCATCAGAGCTAGATATTTACCTTCAAGATGAGCATCCAATCTGCTTAGGAAAGAAACATCAAATACTGTCTTTATGAGAGCTGGAGGAAAATATCCAGCTACTGCCAAAATGTAACCCAGCAGCACCAAGTGATGAGTTTCAAAACAACCTTTACAAATGAAACAGAAATCCATATTAACACTACAGGGCATTAAAAGGACTTTTGTAATGCTTTTCTGCTTCCCAAGTCTGTCTTAACATTAAAAACAAACAAACAAACAAACAAACAAAAAACTAACTCCACAATAGATGCACACATTTTCCCCTAGAACTGAGGCATTTTTGGTGAGCTCTAAAATATGTCCTGCTCTCAAATAATGATTCTTTGGGGAATGCCAAAGTAATTATTTTCAATGACAGCACAGTACATTAATCAGACTTTTCAGTTTCTTTATACTATGCTCAAGATACTTTGCTGGTCCTGTACAAACACTACTTTGTAAAGAGTGAAATGAAGCCAGAAAACCCCACAGAAATATACTTTTGATTTCACAGAGCACACAGGCACGTTTTTTCACTTGGCTTAAAAAATGCCATCATACACCCAGTTTTGTCCAGTACAAATAAAATGTTTCAGCAGCACTCAGCCCATGTTCCTCTAATATACTTACTCAAGTTAGAAGTCAGATGTTGGATACAACTTTGAAAGAACTCTTCATTGGCAGGAGGATCATAGTTCAGAACAGAGAAAAGATAGAGAATGAAATACATTTCCAGTGGGTGGATCTGGGGAAAAAAAGTATCCTAAGTTGAGCCGCTGAAAAGTATTCTAAAATTGTTTTGTAGTAAAAAGGATTTTATAAATTATTCAGAATATGGAAACTTAATGATGAAGTATGTTCTTGGGCTTTTTATGTTTTTGGTTTTTTTTTCTGTTCTGCAACTTTTCCTAGATAAAAATATAAAAATAATAAAATGCACAAGTCATTAAAATTGCAACTATAGCTAAAAATCAAAAGCTGTTAGATGAAGATGATCCAAGTGTTAACTGTGTGCTTAGACTTTAAGATTTTTAAACGGGAGAAAATCCAATGGGTTTCTTGGTTTGTTTTATAAACTACAGTGTTGCAAGACAAAACAGAATGTCTTTTACATCAGTTCCTAATCTGGGGGGGAGGGAGAGGGAAGGAGGAGAACATATTGAGAAAACAGTGACTTTGACCAAAAACACAGGTTATCGAGGATATTCACACTAGAATGGGTAACAAAAAATATTACGCCATGCAATGTGACTATACTGTAAAGAGGTAAAAGGAATATTTAATATGGTCAAATGAAAACCTGAACACAAAGGATTACAGTTGACCTAATGCTGACTGAACAGGAACATAAGAAAGGAAAAGTAAAGAGAAGAAAGTGCAAAGTAACATGTGGAAGTAAAACAACTTTCAGTGGACAAAGAGAAAGACAAGTGCTGAAAGAGTTACAGTGAAAAAACTCTCAGAGGCACTGTGAATTTTTCTCTGAAAAACATTAATCCAATGCTCAGTGCTCCTAGCACTGTGCTATTCGAGTCCGCCAACTCAAGAAGGATGTAGAACAAGAAAAAGTTCTAGGAATGTACCTTTCTGTGCAGAGCCACACCAAACCGTTTTTAGCACATATCCATGGAGATGCTGAACACGGTTCTTAATATAAATTGACATGTAGTGAAAATTTCAGTAAACAGTTTTAAGGAAGGAATGGAAGGAAATGTGTTTAAACAATCATTCTTACATTATTAAAAAAAAAAAAAATCACCAACAGTGCACTGTTTTTTAAAAGCGTGAAAAATTAGGAGATTCAAATCCAGAAAAAAAACCACAGGACAGATCCAAAAACAGTTATTAAAGAAAATTATCTACAGGCCATCTTTAGCCTGGAAAATCTCAGCATCTGTGACAGGCTGTTCCAGGGAGATGATCTCAAAACCTTCATTTCTCTTTGCTACAAAACCACATATCCTCACATTTGTCAAAGCCTGGATTCTGAGCTAGAATGACTTGTGGTCCAATGCAAAAGCCATTATAAGCTGTGTGCATCATGGAAAAGGATGAGATAGCTACAGTAATTTAAATATCTACTCCCAAAGCAGTGGCCGAGCCCAAATCTGCATAACTGTAATTTCATTCCACCAATAAAAAACTGCTGTATGTAAAACTGCTGCAAGTGAGCTGAAAAGGTGAATTGTGTAAACTCACTTAAAAAAAAAAAAAAAAAAAAAAAAAAAAAAAAAAAGTATGTTTAATCAAAATTCAAGAGAAACAAACAAACAACTAGGTAATATCATAAAAGTCAAGATTTCCATGCTTGAATTCTATCCCTTTTGTTACTAACCTGTCCTTTTCTAACTGAAGAACTTATACAGTAGATTAAAAGAAAAACTATAATACCTTGTTTATATTTTGAACAGTCACAGATGCTATTCTGTTAAGTAACAAAGGACAGCGATGGTTTGTTTTTATGAGAAAAAAAGACAACTGTAACACATTTGCCCTTGTTACTTGATCTATCAAACGTCGACATGCAGCCACAGTCTCCTCACTGATGACTTCCTGCAACCACTCTCCATTCACATGTGTGAGTTCTTCCAACAGGAGATTTAAGTTCCTGGCTTTCTGAAGTCTCTGAAATCCACAGTCATTTAGTTTTTGCAGAAGCTTTACATGTAGCTCAGAAGTGTTTTGCCATTGTAACTTGTCATAATGATTCCATTTGACAAGAGCTGTAGCAATGCAACTGAGGTTCTGGAGCCTGCATTGAGGTAGAACTGCTGTTGCTTTGTTTATAATGATTTCCTCCATTTGAGAGGATGGAAGCATGGCCAGTGTGCGAATTATTGCAGCAGTATCAGCAGGTATGACACTAGATTTTAGAAAACTGACAAGAGACAGAAAGAAAAACAGATCATCAATATCGACAGAGTGCAAACATTTGCTTATTTTTGGTTTGGGTTTTTCTTTTCTTTTTTTAGAAAGCAAATGAATTCATAAAATCATAGAATGGCCTGGGCTGGAAGGGATCACCAAGGATCACCAAGTTCCAAAGCCACTGCCCACAGGCAGGGTTGCATCTAAGTTCTACTTGAAAAGGCAAGAGTAGTACATTGTTTCAAGAAAAAAGAAACACAAAATCAGCGGCACAAAATTCACACAGACAGTGACTGGTGTTTTTTTGGTTGGTTTTTTTTTTTCATTTCAACATTAATTTCTTCCTTCTAACATTCAAATTGAAAAGGGGAAGATGACAGTGAGCATCTTAGCTGGTGAGGCTTGAAGTGTTACTGAGCGCACGGAAGCACTTATTAAGGAAGTTCTGCCCTTTGTTAACTGAGTTTGTGGGTTCCTAGGTCAAGGATAATTTCCACAAAAAGTGAAAGCAATGGTGGCAGATCTCTTCACAACAATGAGAACTAACTAGAAAGTTCTTTGTTCTGTAGAAGAGTATTTCTGCTTTATACTTTCATTTGTTCCAACCATAACATCTTTACTTACTTTTCATTGACTGCTTCTTCAAGTATCAAAGAAGAGATTAATACATGCCCTTCCTACATAGTATCAGCCAAAACGGAGGGGGAAAAATAATGTTTTAAAAGGCATCACTTTTATTAGCAGATACTACTATATCTACAGCCAAGTAAAACCCATTTCGTATCCTTTGATTTATGTGTTTAATCAAATTAAATCATCGTAATAGCTTGTTACTTCTTCATATTTCAGGAAAACAAATATTTTAGCTTGTCATTTAAAATATTAACTAGACTACTGTGTAATACTTCAATTAAATAAGACACCGAATTTTCAAAAACAAACACTTACCCTAATAACAACATTTTCAGCTTGGCAAACAACTCCTGATCATGGCAACGCAACAACACCAAGCACTGTGTTAACTTTACCAACTGCAATACATGATAGCTATCCAAGTGTCTGTGCAGAACAGAAACCATTCTGAATGCAAACAGAAAAAGATGACATGGTATTATGCTAATGCAAAAGATACTGCAGAACACTACACCCCAAATGAAGAAGGGGTTCCTCATGTTGCCCAGTAACTAAATAGACGATTATATACACCTGTACTCTTCCCCACCTCAGTTTTGTTGATCAGTTTACAATTGCAGAGAATCTGGCTTAAGTTCTTAAAGACTTAGTAGTTCAAGTTAGGGCACAATATTTTTTGAAGAAACAACTCACATTTTAACAGGACAACCAGACAGGGTATACTCTTTGCAACTTACTATGTTCTCATTTGTCTCAGCAGTTTACAGTAATTCTCACAGGTTAAGTTTACACAAAACACATCACATAATAGTAAATAAGCTAAAAGCTATATTACATTAACTTGTTAGAAATGAAATGCCCTTCTGTGAAATTCCTGAACTACTCAATCACTTCAGGGTCAAGCTGTGATATTCTAAAGTCTGTAACAGCTAACTATATGCAGAGTGCATGTGTTTGTAGGTGACACACTCTCCACTCCCAAAGGATACTATATATTTTTTCTTAATACATTGAAGTAATCTATAAGCTATAGAACGCAATTACTTTGTAGTCTTTAAAGCATTACTTTTCAAGCAGGTGAGAATGTCTACATTTCATTTTCTGCATTGTCTTCAGTATCACTAATGCTTGATGACTGCTAAATCCTTCTGCGATGAGTGCTGCAGTTGTTAGCAACCTATAGAGAAGAAAGAATTTATTTTCCAAAGAAAAACTTCTGAAAAGTTACAGCAAAGATTTTAACAATATTCTTTGTCAGAAGAGGGAAAGAACAACAGACTACATCAGGAAATACAGGAAAACAGATTCTCCCCAACTAGATAATTCTATGTTGTGAACCATTCTTCTGAACAGCATGGCACAGACAAAGATGCAAATGTATTAAATCAGGACATTGTAAGGAAAATTACAATTATTGTGTAAGTTATGGTAAAGAATATCCAGAGATTTGAAGAGAAGGAAATACTACTGAAGTTAAGTCTGAAAACATTGCTAATCATAACTAATACAATAATTCTGCCTAAGACTTTGAGAGAGCCATGAATAATACCAGGATTTTGTGGCACAAAAAAATGCAGGCAGACCAAGATCTGCAATGTAATACAGGGCTCCAATCGCTAAATTAATGCTGGAGGATTCCCTGCTGCCATCCTTTCATATTGGATATGGTGTGCTTATGGGCTAGACTCAGTGATCAGGGGTTTGGGCTCAATGATCCTACCAACCTCTACAATTCTGTGATTTTGTACACCAAACTGGGATAGGACAAGACTCCAATTGTTTCAGCTACTGCAGATCTTAAAAGGAAAAAATGTAATACACACTACAGTATATATTTCCCTGGAAAAAGGCAAAAAGTTTGTTACCACTACCCACAGTGAAAGGAAAAAATAGGAGACAAAGCAACAAGATGGTCTTGAGTAACAGTATTCCCATGCACCTTAGTTACTAGATACAACTTCCTATACAACTGTTTCAAGACAAACTACTTTCTGTAATGAAACAATTCATTGCTATAAAGTTAGGAGCAGAAAACCTAATCATCTGATGTCATAGATAGGCTCAGAAATTCCCCAAAACACCAACAGATTTTTCGATTTCTATGAAAGACTATGTAAAAATAATACCCCTTAAGAATCTTACCTTTCTCTTACCTTGGACCCAGCCATAGGCCCAAGAACAAAAAATAATTTTGCAAAGGCTTCAGGATCATGGTAATCATCTATTGATTCAGACAGCAGCTGTTTAGCAGTCAAGCAGAACTCCGCATTGTCAAAACCCAGCTGCTCATACAGTCCAAAAATAAGACTAATATTGTCTAAATCAAGATGAGAGGCGCTTTTTAAGAAAATCTTGTTGCATTTTTCTAGCAAAGAAGGATATGTCAGTTTACTAAGTTGAAGAAACTGTACAATTCTTTTGGCGTAGTTGAAGTGGACTTCTTCTCCCAATAGTTGTTCCACCTTCTGTAGTAATCGGTCCTGAAAACTCCGTGAGATGACACCAGATATACTGATCATCAAAACTGACAAGATCCTAAAAAATTCAAAAGACTTTAAGCTTACACATTGAACACGGTTAAGTAACACATTTTAGACTTCTCAAATGAACTAGCCAAATAAAGGAATGTTAGTTAGGATGTTGCTGGCTTCTGTGCCATGAGGAGTTCAGAATCTAATGTACAAAAAACAACTCAGCAAAAAGCATTTGTTCAAATAACTTAAAAATTCTGCTTTTAGAGGATTACTGAAATGATTGGGATTTTTCAATTCTTACAAAGTTGTTTGTGTAAAAGTGCTTGCCTAAAGCAAACTCCTGACATGTCTCATTTAAATTTGCAAAAAGATCTTTAACCTTTGGTGAAAAATTAAAGAAACCCAAACAATTGCCAGGAGACAGAACAGGGAGAAAAGAGTCACCATTAATCCTACAGAAAAAAATCCCTTTCTAACAGGATAACTTCAGACAAAAGAGAGTCAGTTGTGTAAAGAAATGCGGTCTCATTCAATTAATTTCATAAGCGGGCTCTGTGTGTCCCAAAATAAATAAATAAATGGAGACTGATGGTGCTGGAAAAGGCAGGGGGAAAAAAGAGCAGCATTTGCTATAGTGGCCCAGGGAGAAGATAAGCAAGAAAAATAAGCTTGACCTTTTTTGCCTACAGTTCTACTTTTGTACTAAGAGACGTGGTTCTTGCTGGGAAGTATTAGTGGTAGGTAAATGGTTGGACTGGATGGTCTTAGAGGTCTTTTCCAACCTTTGTGATTCTATGATTCAACTCAATTTTAGCATCAGGATAATGTAACAGACACCTTAGCAAAAGAACTGATTGATTCACCCTGACAAAAAATGCTCTGAAGATATATGAAAATAGATTTCTTTTAAGATTCCTCGCCACTATTCATCATGTCATAATAGAGAAACTACTAACCTCAAGGAAAACAGACATCTGGTGAATTGACCTCTATATTCTCAGAAAAGTTCAGAAGAAATTTAGAATCAGAGTAAGAGAATATCTTTTATTTCACTTCAAGTGAAACATCAGTTTTAGTTAAGCACTTAGATTGGTTACAAAAAAATTCTTCAAAAAGTAATTGGGATATTGTTTTAGCCTGAGTAAACTTCTTCATGAAAACCAATGTACAAATCACATCTTTTCCACAAACCCCAAACTGAATTAACCTTCAATTGAGAAAAACTGAAAATGTTCAACAACAAACAAACAAACAAACAAACAAACAAACAAAAAAATCCACCCAAAGCAGTAATTGTGACATATTGTTTCCCACACTACTCAGTTTCACTCTGATACTTACCTTATATCCTGTACAGAATCCAGTTTCATGTCCACAAGATGTGCTATTTTGCCAGTTAGGGGACTAAAATGTCTGCGCTGCTTGTGTAAACACAGTGCAAATTTAGACAAAGCTGGTAAACTAAGGCTGTGAAGACATCAAACAAAGACAGGATATCTACCTTTTATTTCTAGTGAATAATTAAAGGCAAAAATCTAATTCAACAACTGTATAAATTGTAAGTAACATTCAAATTACAAAACGAGAACAAAATATTTACACATTTCCTGTGAGATAGTGATATCCTGAACTCAGACAAAATGCTCAGGTATTTTATAAGGAAGCATATTGCGTGTACGAAACCCTACGCAACTCAGAAGTCAATACACTTTGAGAAGCCAGGGTAGCCTTGTGTGAAGCAAACCACCCCCACAACTTACACTTTTCACAAAGCATACTAGTTCAGTACTTGCCTTTCTAATCTTTTCCATGCTTCTGTAACGAGCACTCCTGCCAAGGAATCATGGCTTTCCACACTGAGCCTTCAAAAAAGACAAAGACACAGCAGTTTGAAAGTTTGCTTAAGAAATTAAAAGAAAAATGTCTTCCCATTATTTATCATGCTTTACATTTCTATGCTCCTTCCAATCAAACAAATGTACCCAAAAACACATTATAAACATTTATGCATTCACAACCATAATCCTATTTATCAGGAGTACAAAACATATCAACCCTGCTTGGATATGGCACAGGAAGTTAGATTTCCTTACAGCTGGAGTGTTACTCCAAAAACACCCTCTTTTTATTACCAGATGCACAATGTATAGATGTGGAAATCAACATAATACTGCTTACCTCAGTATACTATACAGAGTGTCCACTATTGCCTCATTATCCATGTGTTCTACTTTGTTTTCTGCTAAAAAGCAAAGAGTTAGAAACTGGGAGTGATTTCTTACATAGTCAATAGTCCTTAAGAGAAGTGGCTTCTTCTTCTGCAACTGCCATAACACATTCAATGCAATTCCCACATGCTTTTCAGAAAGCCTGGCCTTGTTCTTGCCAACAAGGCTGAACACTTCATCTTCATGGGTACAGTTATTTATCTGGCTCAGCAGCAGATCGCTGCTCAGAGTTCGGGCTTGGTAATGTCTCAGTGCAGACAAGCGAACTTGCCTCAAACAAAGCATTTTTCTCAGTCTATCAGCTACCTTTAACAGTGTCTAGAAAGATTCTTTCATTTTTCACAGCAGAACACTGTTTCACAGAACAAACTTGGGCATCTGAAAAATGGGCACTTCTTTTCTTTTCATCCTGTATGGTCACTATATTGGTAACTCAGTTCTGAGGTACCTGTAGTGAAACAGAATTAAAGCAGTTAGATACAGTCATAAATCCTAGCTAAAAATCAATGTATCTGCCTTTTAATGTAGTAGTTAATGTAAGCTTAAAAAAAAACCCCATGCTCTGAATTCTTCTGAGAGTGAACAAAGAACATCAACACACCCAGAAGTGTTAAGAAAAGTTACTACCTCTGGTAATAACGTTCTAAATAAATTTTAAAAATACTTGCATATTTAAAAAGCTACCCCCCAAAAATGCACGTGCTGCCATGCTAATACTGAGAAGGCAAAGATGGGCTTTTTCATGTGCAAGGAGAGAGCACAAGTCACTGAGACCTGCCTTCATACTGAAGCTGCTCCATGATGCCAACAGGGGGCTCAAAGGAAATGCAACTGTTAGGGGTAAAAGGAAGTGAGTGAGCACAAGCTCCTTGAGCTCTAAACAATTTTAACTTATGATGCCTCATAACATGAAAGATTTTCTTCCCTGTGCAAAATGAAAGCATGCAAAATGGTATTCATATCATTTTCCACCTATTACACAGTAAGTAATTTTTTAATAATGAATTTGCTTTATACTCCCTCTTTTACAGGCTGCTTTTATTGCTTCTGCCTGCTTCATTCCTAGAATCATATCATAGAATCATAGAATCACAAGGTTGGAAACGACCTATAAGATCCAACCATCTTCACATTACCACTGCTACCACAAGCTACTAAACCATATCTCACAGCTCCTCATCCAGACACTTCTTGAACACTGCCAGGGGCAGCGACTCCACCACCTCCCTGGGCAGGCTATTCCTTGTGCTTACAAAGAACTTACTCCAGTTTATCACCGGGAAAAGTGGTGCTATTTGGCCTTTCCATCTAAGCACACAGATATGCGCTGTTAGAAGTAGGGAGGACCTCTTATAAGATTTCATAAAATTGATTTAACAAGGTGAAGCACAGACCAAAGGACGATCAAGTCACTGCTAAATCACAACCCAGCAATCTTCAACAAAATCTTAAGTCCTATGCTGACCACTGTTACAAGACTGTTTGCCAATCCTCCACATTTCTCAAGTTATCAACAAATGCTGCAGAGATGCATATGCATGGAACCAAACATCATCACATCCAGTGATGACAGCCAAAAGCAGCAATCATCAGTGGTTGCACCAGTGGCTTTTAAACAGAGGCCACAATACAGAGCTGTCAGAACTGAGTGAATGGTCTTCTTCCCCTGTGCTAGCAGCTGGGAGCAGGGACAGCAACGCAGAACAACCCGCAGGCACTGCTCTTTCTAGAAAGTATTCAGCAGACGAAAGGGATCTGTCACAAACTTCTACACGATTTTAAGCTGTAACTTATTTTAATGTATTATAAAACGAAACTCAAGAAAAATGCCAAGTGTTTTGAAAATTAGAAACACACAGATTCAAACCAGGAAATGCATACCTCCCTCAACAACTACTTCTATCTTCTATTTACTGTGCAGAATATAAACTAAAAGCACAAGAAGGAATTTAAAGTCATTTAATATCAGCGGAAATACAATAAGCATTCTCAAAACCGCACTACAAACTACAGAAAGCGCGGAAACCCTCCCCTCACCGAGGTGGACAGGGACTCCCACACGCCGACGGTACGGCAGCACGGAGAGCGGCCCCGCGCAGCCGCAGCCCAGCGCTCCCTCGGCCGCGTCCGCGTGTAAGGGAAAGGGGGGCAGCGGGAAGCTCCGAGTCCGACTCCCAGCGTCGGCCTGGGCCCCGCGGCGCCTCGCCCTACCCGGGGCCCGAGGAAACGCCGCTCCCAGCCCTCCCGCGCGCGGAGCCCGGCCCGGCGCCACCAACCAGCACGTACCGCTGCCGCCGCCGAAGAGCCCCGGGGCGGCGCAGGGGGGCCGAGCGGTGGGCGGGGAGGTGGCGGCTGCGCTCCGAAGGGCGGCCCGCCGAGCCCAGCGGCCGGGGCGTTGCAGGGGACTTGAGGCGGCCGCGCGGCCTGCCGTCGGCTTAGCGCTGGCTTAAGGGAGCGCCGGTGAAACGGCGGGGTGCCGCACTCAGAGAAAAACGTGATTAAGTAAGGAAATGGAAGAACCAGCCTCGTCTGCAACTTGTAAGGCATCCTTACACCCACACAGCATCGTTTGAGAGGGCCTTAATTGGCATTTTCGCGAGATTCCAGTCACTGAAGCCACAGATGGTACCCCTCGCTCACATGGAGCCCCTGCGCTCCGCTCATCCCTGCCACGCTACGCACGGCCCCGCGGCTGTCGGGAAACGCCAGGAGCAGGGAGAAGGGTCAGCCCTTCCAAGCAAAGTCAAAGAATATTTGTAAAGTTCCAAGGTCACATCAATACAATTTTTATATAACATACTCTGAGGGGGGGGAACATCGTCTCTGTCCAAGAAAAAACACATCAGTCTAATCAGCCAAACACTAGAGTGAAGCTCTAGTGTTTGGCCTCACTGTACTGAACAGACAGATCACAGACTGGCTGGGGTTGGAAGAGACCTTGCAGCCCACCCAGTCCTGCTGCAGGCTGCCCACGGCTCCATCCAACCTGGCCTTGAGCAGCCCAGGGATGGGGCACCCATAGCTCCTCTAGGCAGCTGTGCCAGGGCGTCACTGCCCTCTGAGGAAAGAATTTCCTCCTAACTTGGTGCAGCCCTAGGCAGTAACATTATACATAATGAAACAACATTATGATTAATTCACTTTACCATATTTGTATGCTGTATTTTCTTACACTTTGCAAAAAAAGAAAAGTTTTAAATTACAAGTTTTGGGACACAGATCTAATGTCAAGTTCTGGAACACAAATCTAACATACTGTGATTTATATTTGCATACAAACAGCTCCAAATCCTCTCTATCTTCTCTACTACGAGTGAAAATAACAAACACCATCCAATATCTGATGATGTGGTCAGCCAGCGTCAACTGATTTGAGCAATGGTAATGCCAAGCTCACAGTGCTCATTTATCCTTCCAGCTTTCTGTGGCATGGCCTCAGGCTGCTATCATGCTATCCGAAATCACAGCCAATATTATCTGGTGATTGATTGGCTGTTTTGCAGCTGCATATCACAGGCTTGGTTTTGTCTCATCTGCTGTTACACCTCAAATATTGGATGCTTACAAATCTGCAGCCTGGGCTGCAGACTGCAGGGACACATACACACGTAAGTGACAGGGAGGACCTGAGCCCTGTGGAGAACTCAGGGCAGCACTTACCCTTGTGCAAACTCACTTAATTCTAGGAAATCTGATCTCCCACTTTAAAAGTACATCTTATCTGCACGGAGGTGACTTCTGCAAATCATATGGACTTTCCATTTAAAAGATGCTGAATTTGTTACTTTTGACTTGCCAAGTGCATTTGGATGAAATCAATTATTTAATCAATTAATAATTTCTAGAACAAATTGCAGAGGCTAGATAAAATGTCTTACATTTTAAGCAGGACATTTAGAAGAAAGCCTCGTACCAAAGCCTACTGAAGCTGGTGTTGATTCACCACGTAGTACTCCATTTACTTCAGGACTTCTTGACTCACAAGTCAATCTCTCATTTGTGGGTTTTTTATTATTATTATTTTAATTTCGGTTAGAAATTTGGAAGGAGAAGATGATGTTCCTGCTTTCAACAGGCTTCTCAGCATCTTACCACAGGACTTGCATCCTCCCTTCCCGTCATACGCAACTACAAACCCCGTACTCACTGCTCAGAGCAAGAAAGCTTCTGTTTCTATTGCAGATTGACACGACTTGAACGGCAGTGTAAACACGCAGGTTAAGATCAGGGACATTTTTCTACACGATAATTTCCTTTTTAGCTCTCCACAACCCTCGCTCCACGCGCCAGGTGCTGCTGCAGCGGCTACCCGGGGCCGTTTGGAGCTCTGCACTGACCCAAATCCCGGCCGTTCCCCGGGCCGTTGGCCGAACCGCCGCTTCAGCCGCGGCCAGCGGGGAAGGCCGCAGCCGGTGCCGGCGCACGGCGCTCCGCCCGCCCCTCACGGCCCGCGCTCCTTCCCGCCAGTCCCGGCCCGGCCGAGGGGAGTGGAGGCGGCGGGCGGGGCGCCGCTGACGAGCTCGAGGGGGCGGGCGCCCCTTCCCCCAACCGCTCGGGCTCCTTCCGAGCGGTCCCCGCCGCCGGGGAGAGCTCCGCGCGGCCGGTTCTTCCGCGCCCCTCCCGGCCCCGCGAGGCTCGGCCGCCGCCTCTCCCGCCTCCGCGCCCCCCGCCGCCGCACCGCCCCCGGGGTCGTCCCCTCCCGCCCTCTCCTTCCACTGACGCAGTCCGTGCCGCACCAGCTCTAACATGGCGGCGAGGCGCTGAGGAGCGCGGGGCGACGCGGGCCGCGAGCGGGGTGAGTGCCGGCACCGCCATGCGGCCGAGGGAGGGCCGCGGCCCGGGCGGCCGCCGAGAGCTCGGAGCCGAGGACGGAGGTCGCGGGGCCCGAGCCCCGGCGCGGAGGGGGCGGGAGCCGAGCTCCTCCCCGGCCCGCCGGGGGCACCGCGGGGTCCCTCTCGCCGGGCGCCGCGGCTCGTTGTGGGGGGCGGCGGCCGTGAGGGGAGGGCCCGGGGCGCCCGCGGGAGGGCGGCCTCTGAGGGGAACGCGGGGCCCGGGGAGCTGCGAGCGGGCCGGGGCGGGAGGCGGCAGCCGGGGCCTGGTGAAAGCTGCGGCCGGCGGCGCGGCCGCTGCGGAACGTGCCGCCCGGCGCGCTGCCCGCGGCCTGGGTGCTGCTCGGCGCCGGCCTCGGAGTTTGAATGAAGCCTTCCTCCTCCGCCAGAAGGCGAAGTGAGCGGCTGTCTGCGGGCCACATGTCCTCCTCCCTCCGCAGGCCTCTCCCTGGGATGCGGAGCCTGGAGGAGCTGCCGTGGCGGCAGGAGGGTCCCCGGCTCCCTCTTGGGGCTTTCTTAAAGCCCTTGACGGGTGTTTGTGGGAAATGCGTGTTGGACCCGTCAGGCTTATGGCCGCGACCAGGCCGTTAGTACTGCACGTGTACGGTTATTCTTGAAATCCTCGGGACGCTTTGGAGGAGGGAGGCTTAGGAGAAAAAGCAATGGCTTATTGAAATAGGCTGAAATGTCTGTTATATTGCCTTACGGTTCACTCGGATAGGTGTCTTCCATAGGCCTGATAAGGAGGTCACTGTGGTAGCTGCTCAGCATTAGACTTAATCTTATGTAGACCTATGTTTTTGTAAGAGAGAATATCCAGTTTTTCGTGTTTTTGTTCCATATTACCTGCAGGAAAAGTTGTTCTTTGGGTGGAGATAGATAATGGGTTTTGTTGTTTTTTTTCTTTTTTTTCTTGTTTCACAATAGTACACTGGGAATGGTATGAGTCACGTTTTTAGGTGCCACCATGATCAAAATATGACAACTAGACATGTTTTATGAAGCAGTACTTTATTTACATTTGAAGAACGTATATTTTTGATTTATCATGTTGGTTTTTTTTAAACTACTTTAAACGATTTGAAAAAAGTATGGCTCTAGTATATGAGGTAGGTCTGAAGGGGGACATACAAAATAATAAAGGATGCTTGGAGAGCATCCTTTGGGGCTATGTGTTTTAATTAGAGCATTTCTTACAGTCCTTTTTTGTGAAACATTTTTGTTTAGGAGTTAGCCAGTCAATCATCCAGCGGTTAATTTTTTTTTTTTTAATTGGCTTTAGGATTTCAGAAAATCAGTGGGTTGGGAGTTAAGTGTATGTGCTGCAGTGGAGGATGTTACTGTAGTGCAGTGTGATGTTTCCACTGCCACTTTAGTCCTCTGTGCCACGTGCACTCCCATACAAGAGCCACTTTCCATTTGGAAGCAGCCAGGAGCACATCCAGCTGTTTTCTAATGGAGTGAGGATTTGGTTGGAGGTTGGGGTGGGGCTGGGAAGGCGTGTAGAACTAAAGTAGTTGAGAGAGAAGGAGGACGAGATCATAGAACAAGTTTTTTGGAGGGTTATGGTTGGCAAATATATGTCAGCATTAAAAACTGCCTGTCCAGCTGTTACGCAGTTTAGCCTTGTTCTGGTCTCCAGTAGCTAGGACAGAAGTCTGAAGTCTGTTTTGGTGATTCCAGCAGGTGACTGACTTGCTGATTACGCTGGACCTTTTAAACACTTTTTTTCTTTTACACAACACTAAAGCTTGTGCTTTCTTAGTATTTTTTCAGTTCTACAATTCTTGTTTGTTGGTTAATGGCTTCTTCTGGACCTAATGCAGCTCCAGTTTCCAGTTCTGAATGGTAGGATTGAAGTAGTCATGTTCTTCACCGCTTCTGGGAGTGCTGTGAGCAACTAAAGGCATCTAGTTGTGCACAGACCTGGGAAAACACGTCTGTGTTTTTTCACAACTCTAACAGCAGACAAGAAAAAGAAAAGAAAAAAGGAAAACAAACAAACAAACTTTTCTGGGTAAATCAGATGATAGAAAAGTGTGACTTATTCTCAGCAGCAAAGTTTTTCCTTGGTGTCAATGTAAGTGCCAAGGAAATTTTAAGGTATTTTTCATTTTAGGTTTCTCCTTATTAGGACACTAAAAGGAAGGGCGTGATCTTGTGAGAACTTGTATCCCTGTTCAGATGGTTTTAGGGGAATGTTATCAGCTTCTCAGCTTAATCTTGTGTTCTTCTTCCAACCAGGACATTACATCTAGGTGTGCATTCCTTGTATACTTCAAGAAGCTCAATTTTATGTTAGCTGTAAAAAAATCTTACAAAAAGTTATGTAAATGAGTTCTGCTGTGCAGTAGTGTAGGAGTGCATTCTGTGTATTTATTCAGGACCAATCTGAACATGATATCTGACATCCCTCTAAGAGGATAGCAGGCTCCTGGCAGGCGATGGCTGATCTTGTCAGGTACCTCTTCCCTTGATTTCATTTTTTAGGGTGAAAAATATATAATCAGTTCAAAGGACACTTTCAGCATTACTTGAGATAGAGAAATTTCACAAACCTTTGTAAAATATTTTTTTTCTACAAAACATTTTTTTTTAAGTCCACATGATTGCCAAGCGGCATCCAAAAAAATCTGAAATGTGATGAAATGCCTTTAAAAAATCTGTTGGCAAAACAGTCCTGTGTTGCTGATTAGTAAAATGAAAGCAAATTAATTTCTTTAGTTGTCATTGCTGCTATTTGGGAGGTTCTGCTGTTTGGGAACACAGCGAGGAAATTATTGAGATTGGGATTGGGCTTGTTGGGTTTCTCTTCTTGCTTGCAGTATCATTCTACAGAGCTGGAAGTTCATAATGGCACAAGTACTAGGATAACATGTCTCATTTAGCAATCATACATTCATTTGCAGTTTAATCTGTATAAAACAAATATACCATTCTTGGGCTGTGGCTGCACTGTCATATTAAGTTGGTATGTGCCGCTGCCAAAGTCTTTTCTTGAAAGGATGCAGAGGAGGGTGTAGTTTTCACGTGTTTAAGGAGACCCATCTATATCTGTACCAGGGCTGGCCATGCTGTTGTGTGAGCCCTCCATTCTGGGGTTCAGCCCACGCGGCTTTAAGTGATTGTGGAACAGCA